AAAAAAAAAAGTAATAAATGAACAGACCTCCCTGGTGGTGCAGGAGAAGACAGAAGTTTCAAGCCGTCACCAGCCACTGCAGCTCAAGTACAATCCCCCTGCTGGCCAGGGAGCTGCCCACGGGGCACAGGAACCCTTCCCGGCTCCCCACTGCCCCCCTCAGCAGGGGATTTCAGTACATCTGCCTGTTCAACTCTCACTCTCCGGTGAATCTTCTCACCCACCCGCACCTCTGACCTGTACCGAGTTTTTGTATGCATAAATATGTAATTTTTAAAAAAGAATAAATATACTCAATGAGACTCTGAGGTTCCAGTTACACGTGCGTCCGGCACTTATGAGCTGGGCCTTCAAAGCTGAGGGCCAGGACCGGCAGCCCCAAGTCTATGGCTTTGAGCTTGACTATTTTACGGTTAGAGTTTCAAAATATTAATTGTAAATATAATTTAACTTAAATGTGTTACCGTGATAAATTACAATTTAAAATATAATTCCGTATCACAGCATGAGTGCCCCAGCTGCGATTTGGGGCATCTCGGTGGGGGTGACGCTGACTCAGGAGCCACGGGGTCTGGGAGCTCAGACCCTCCCTGCTCCGGAGTCAGGATTTCCCTCCACCGAGATGGTGCTGCCAGACTGGTTCCACGAATTGGGTGACGGCAAGTTCCGCCAGGACCAGGGCTCTGTGACCCCACATCAGGCAACGGCCGTCTCAGACGCAGTCACTCCACTCTTGATTTCAAGATCTAGAGCGTCAGCATTTCTTTGCTCATTCTCAGGAGGGCCTGGGAATAGGCATGTTGGGGTGTCCTGGATGCACTTTTTCTGCCTTCCCGCATGGAATGGTCAGGACTGGTCCCCCAAAACACACACACACACCCCTACCAAAACGCGGGGACTGAGCCGAGCGCAGCAGGAGGCCCCCGGTCTCGTGATGGTAACAGTGGCCAAAAGCTAGGTGCCAGGCACTCTCCTCATTATTAGAGTTAATCCCCACAGAATCCTGGGTGTGGGTTTCTCACCCCCATCTCACAGGTGAGAAAACAGACCCAGAGAGGCTGTGTCTTGCCCTAGGTCATGCAGCTAGGAGTGGGAGATGGGGTTAGCAGCCGCACTCTGTGGTGACACCCATAGTGACCCCATAGTGACACCCCAGCCTTAGACACCAGGGATCTGTTCCTCAAAGTGGCAAGGAAAGAAGCCCCCAAAACACCCCGGGCTTGAGCTGGGCGGGCGTTTGACTGGTAGAGGCTCGCTGAGATGGAGGAGGGGAGCGCGGGCCCCCAGAGGCAACCCCGAGAGTGGCGGGGCACTCCCAGGTTCAGATGGTTACCCGGGTCACTTTTCAGGTGCCCAGGAAGGTGCATCCTGGGGGGGGGGGGTGAGTGACCAGCTTAGAATCATAGAGTGGAGTCAGCCAGTTTGACTCAGGGACCCATGCTTGATGCACTCCCTGGTTCCTGGGCAAACTCCCAAGCTCCTGTGGCCTGGCTCCCTAAGGGGACTGGAGACAGGACTCTCCTCAGGAGCAGGATGGAGAAGCGCAGAGAAAGACTCTGTGTGGTCAAGTTTCCTCTGGATACTTCCTCCCTGTCTTCTAGGCACATCTAGGCTAAAGACTACACTTCCCAGCCTCCTTTGCAACTAGGTTCCAGGTGAGCTGGAAGCAGTAAAAATGACAGGTGCAATTTCCAGGGGTGACCTCAAAGAGCACATCCACTGCTTACCAATACGCCCCGGTTCCTCCGTGTTACTTACCATGCTCTGTGGCTGCTCCGGTGGGCTGCTCTGGGGTGGGGCTGGGGGCGGTAGAGGGGCTGGTGGGGCGGGAGCAGGGGGCCCTGCCCTGGCCTCGGACCCCTCGGTGATGGACGACAGTTCAGGCTCAGGCCCCCCAGGCCCTCCATGACGGTGGAAGAGGCGGCTGATGATCTGCTGGTACTGCTTCTTGTGGGTGGGGGGCAGGGCTACCGCCGGGCTCTGCTCCATGGAGCCCCTGCGTTTGAGGGGCCGTGGGATCTCCGCCAGCACCCGGGCCACCTCCTCCAGCTCGGGCACCGACTGGGCCTCGGGAGGCAGCGCTGGCTGCAGCCGAGTGGGGCTGAGAGGCCGAGTCACAGCACCTTCCTCGGCATCCCCAGCCTCCAGTACCGGTGTCAGTAGACTCTCCAGCTCTGGCTCTTGCTCTAGTTCAGCAATGGGTTTGGGGGTGCCTAGAAAGAACAAGAGCTCCATCAGTTGAGGATATCTCGGGAGATCCCCCAAATTCCCTTCCCACAACCGATCAGCCGTGTGACCTCAAGGTAGCTCCTTGCCCTCTCTGGGCTACGCTGTCTCCGCACTGTGAACAATATACACATTATCTGCCTGTCTTGCTGCACTCCCATCACTACCTTGTGAAGCTGACATGGCCACCATCTCCTTATTACAGAGAGGGAAACTGACTCTCAGAGAGGCAAGTCAGTTGTCCAAAGCCACCAAGCTGGTTTTTGAACTCGGCTGTGACACCACAATTGGGGCTCCTGCCATCAAATTAGACTTGACTTTCTGAAATTCTAAACATTTCTCCAGCTCCTTCTGGAACCAGGATCCGGATGCTTGGAGGAAACCTGTCTTAGTCCTTTCAGAGGGCCTCTAAAGCAGGTAGAACTAACAACAGTCACTCCCCACGCTGATCTGCAAGCCCCACTGCAATCTGATAAGGTGTTATTATCTCTTCACAGATGAGAAAGCAGAAGTTCAGATAGGGTAAGTCCTTTCTCCTGAGTCGCACAGCAAGTCTGTGATGGAGAGAGAGGCTGACGCTTGACCCCTTGGAAAAGGCACTTGTCAACCTCACACCCAAAAATGCGACCAGTAAAGGAGAGAAGGGAAGCTAGCTGGGCTTGAAGGTCTGCTCTGTTAAACCCTGTGAAGGACCTTGCGTGGCTTAACTAATCTACCAGCAGTAGAGGCTTCCTCATCACTCACCTCGGACACTGCAGGACAGTGTGTCCTAGGGGGTAAGTGACAGCCTGGGACACACGCGTGGAGTCAGGCAGCTTGACACCAGGGCCCATTCTCCACACACCCCCTGGTTCCCAGGCAAACCCCTACGCTCCTGTGACCTGGCCCCCTGAGGGGACTGGAAACGACCTCCCCAGCGGGTCCCGGCCACGCGCCCTCCCGTCACCCATCTGAGAACCGCCATTGTGGACTCACCTTCGCTCCCAGGGGGCCATGTCAGTTGGGGAGTTTGGGGGGTCAGGGCCGGGGGTGGAGGCTGGGCTTGAGGCTGGGGTTGTGGTTGCTGCTGGGGCTGTGGGGGCGGCTGGGGCTGTGGGGGCGGCTGGGGCTGGGGGGGTGCTTGTGGCTGGGGAGGCAGCTTGGGTGGGGGAGCCCGGGGGAAGCCGAGGGAGCCAGGGAACATAGCCCTGCTGCCACTGTGCTCCCAGAAGGCATTCTGCAGCTTGAATATCATGCTGAGGGGGATGGGACGCTGGCGGGGGGCACCTCGGGGCTGGGGGCTGGAAGGGGGCATGGGGATGCGGCTGACAGGCTGCCAGCTGCGGGGCAAAGTGCCGGATGGCCCCGTGGCGCCCAGAGACCGGCGGTAGCTGCCCACATCTGAACGCCTGTCATTGGCCAGAGGGGAGACCTTGTAATTTCGGGGCAGAGTGGCGCTGGTGAGGTTGTCCTGAGGGGAGAAAGAGCAGCGGGGGGAAGAAGGGGCTCAGTTGGGAGGAAGATGGGGTTCAGGAAGTAAAGGTAGGAAGAGACAGGGAGGGGTGGGAGCCAGAAAAGTGAGGGAGAGAGAAGGATGAGGAACTTGGGGAGGGGTGCGGGAACTGGGGGCACAGCCAGGGGCAGGCGCTGGTCCTGCCCGGGCCCTGTCCTCACCCCCAGCCTTCTCCCCCACCACCTGCCCCTCACCTTGCCGCCGGCCCCCATGCCGTCCAGACTGCTCTCTCTCCAGGGCAACAGCTGCAAGCCCGGAGAGACGGGCCTTGTGAAGGTATCCAGGCCTGTGGGGTGGAACCATTAGGGTCTGGGGGTGCCTCTCTTCCCGCATCCCCACAGCCCCGCACCCCATCGCTCACGTTCATAGCTCGCAGTCTGCGACGACTTCTTCTCGTAGGCGACGTCCAGATCAGACTCATTCCAGGCTTTGGGGGTCCGCCGGCGCAGGGTGAGGTCATCTGGAGAGAGGTAGCTAATGAGGGAGAGGAAGCGGGGTGCGGCCTAGCACCCCTCCCTCCAGACCCGCGTGGGCAGGTGCTTCACCTTGAGCGCGCAAAGGCGGAGCGAAGGCACTGCCGCCCGCGCCCAGCAGGGGGCCCCCGAAGGCCGCCGGCGCGTCGTAGGCTGCTGCAGGCGGGCGCGGGGACGGCCCGCGCTCCGGGAAGAAAGCCTGGGGCCCCTCCGCCAGAGGGCTGCCGCGGGGGGAGCCCGCGCGCGCCAGGAAGTCAAAGGGCGTGGGGGGCCCCTGCTGGCGGAGCGGGCCGGCTCCGGGCCGCGGGGAGGGCGCCCGGCCCAGGGCGCTGCCTGCGCCGTCGTAGGCGCGGGGCCGGGGCGAGGGCGCACGGTCCAGGCTGCCGTAGGCGTCGGGCTGCAGGTAGAGTGGGGTGCGTGGTGACGACGGTCGACCCTTAGGAGACAGCGGGCTGTAGGGGTGCAGAGCCGGGGCGCTCTCCGAGCGTCCAAATGGAGTGTCTGCGCCCTCGGTGGCCGCCTTCCGGGGGGACCCGCGGCTGACGAAAAGTTCCGGCACCGGGCTGGAGCTGTACCGGGTTAACTGTAGGGAGCCGGGGCATTAAGGGGCCAAAGGAGACATTAGTAGACGGTTGGTAAGAGGTCAAATGGGGTCAAGTGGAAACTGAACCCAGGAGCGTTGGGACAGGGCTGGAGATTCGCACAGGGAGAGCCCACATGAGGGGGTGGGGGGAGTGCCAGAAAACGGCACTGGGGCTGGCCCACCAGCGCCTTGGGGCCACCGAGAAAAACGCCACTTCCCTTCTGAGGGTCCTGCCTCACCCTAGCAGTGGCTCCCAGCTGTGAACCAGGAGGCGCTGGTGAGTCTGACCACAGCGACTCCAGCTGCTTGGTCAGTTCATCCACCTTGGCTGCCGCTGTGTCCAGCTCCATTTGCTTGATGTCCATGTGCTTCATGGCCAGAGCTGGGTGTGCAGGTGTGGAGTAAGGACTGGGGGCCAGCTAACAGGCCCCACTTCATCCCCCGTGCCCCACCCGGGCAAGGCCCGCCCCCTACCCCAGCTCACACTGGAAGTTCAGGTCCAGGAGGTCCCGGGCACTCTGGAAAGCCTCGCTGTCCATGGTGCCTGCCGGAGCAGGGTGCCTGTTTGGGGGGTTGGAGAGCGGAGCTAGCCTCAGATCCCATCCCTGGGACCCAGCCTGCGGGGCAGGACAGGACAGGCCCTCCTTGCCTGGTTCTCTCAGCCGGAAGCCCTAAGCCTCTCCACATACTGTGCTGGGGGGTGCCAGCTCCTTCAAAGCCCTCCTGAAGGCTTAGGGCGAACTCTCTTCACAGGACGTTTTGTCCATGTCTATCTCAGCCCTAATTAAGATTCGAATATTTCCTTCCAAAACTACCCCCTGATCCCCAACTATGAGCCAGGCGTCGGGGTGACTAGAGCATACATTATTCTAGATGCTAGGTGATGCGGAAAGTTTTGAAAGTAACAACTGTGTTCCAGGACCTGGGCAGTCGCCAGTTGCTTGAGGACATCATGAAATAAAACAACCAGCATTAATTGAAGGACCACTGGCCCCTAGAATTGTGCCAAGAGCTTTGCACCCCATACCTCATTCCAGGGTCAACACCCCCACTGCATGCAATAAAGTGGGGCTCAGAAAAACATGTTTAACACACCCTGTAAGAAGCTAGCCTGCGAGGCTGTCTCTGGGACTGCAGTGGTCCCACAGGGCAGGAAATCCAGCTTCCTCTCTCCAGAATCCCCCCCAGAGATGTGGTTCCCAAGGCCCCAATATTAAGAGGAAGAACAGGGAGGTGGCCAGTAGTGGCTGAGAGGCTGTGGTCACTGGCCCCGTGGGAGGGAGCCAGGCCACCGGGAACCGGTCAGGCCAGCACCATCCCCATCCCCATGGCAGCCGCCACGCCCAGCGGTTCAGTTCTGCCTCGACTGCTTAGCTTAGCTCTGACTTGGTGGGCAGGCGTGGGCAGCAGAGCAGGCTGGGGCATGCTGATCCGACCTCTGTCTGGGAAGACTCAAAACAGAACCTGTTGGAGCTGGTGGCTCCTTTGGGTGTGAAGGGAGTGTGTGACCTTGGGCAATGGGTACCCGCCACTCCTTGGGCCGCAGTTTTCCCAACAGTGAAAGGAAGAGGCGAATCAGTCCCGTCGTGTCAATCTCTAAAAGTATAAGAACCTTGAGACTGGAAGTCAAGTTCTAGAGAGCCTGAAGTCCTCAGCTAGGGAGTCGACACGCAAGATTTAATCTTTGGAATATCCTAGAATCCTCCACTCTGGCTAGTCTAGATTTCCCGGTCATCCTGCATGTGTCTTATCCGTCCCAGGATTCCACTGTCTTGGAAGACTAGGTGGGTGTGTGATACAGGTCAAGGAAGAACACAAGGGTCAAGTCACAGATGAAGGCACCACGGTCAGACCCAATCTGTAAAATAAGGATAAAGAGCAGCCTCTCTCAGAGGACTGCTGTAAAGATAAACTGGCCAGAAGTGCAGAGAGGAATGAAGGGATTGACCCTCAGAGATGAGGTCTCAGAAAAGAAGGAGCTAGGGACCCCAACTCGGGACTTTTAGAAGCTCAGAGCTAAACAGGAAGAACTCGGCCTGTTAAAATACAAAAATGAACAATACTACTCAGCGCCTACGTTCTGGCAGTGACGGGTTCTTGGGGGGGGGGGCTGTTCACGACTCCCAACACTCTGAGACTGACATCCTCTGGCTCCAAAGAAACGCCAAGCCTGGGCGTGGGGCTGATGGGGATCGGGGCCGCCAGGGGGCGCTGCGGGTCAGGGTCCGACCCCGGCCCGCGGGCGGACAGCGCCTGAGCTCAGACCCGCGGAATGCGCGGCGGGCCCGGACAGGTGCTGAACCTCGCG